AAAAGCACTAGATAAATAAAGAAATTGAATATGCTTAAATGTGTACACGTTAATAGACCGAACAAAATATTTGATTTATTTTACATTAATATGCATCAAAATTACAGTGTGTGTAGCCAATGTTCCCCTTCGGTTGGGGAACTTCAGTGCTATAAGTGGATTTGATCTTGGGAAAATCCACGTATGGGAGGATTCGGTTCAAAAGCCGCTTGTCTGAAAGAGTATTGAACGGGCCAATGAAAGCAATGAATTGGCAGCGTAAGCTTGCGCAGGTGTGCTTCATTGCCAATTATCCCAGGATATAAGCACACCTGGAGCGAGCAAACGCTATCCTTTTCGCTTCAGAGACTTTCTGATCGAGTCGATGAGGGTTCCTCTTGCTGGTTCAGCGACTTCAGAGCGAACGAGTGTCTCCCGGTCCAGAGTGGGTTTTCGCGGCGGCAGACGGTCGAGCTGGGTCCGGTCCTCCAGAGCGGTGCGTATTGTTGCAAACTTTCCTAAAAGAGCAACACAGTCATGCAGCACGTCCTTTTCAGGATGGCGCTCCGACGTTTCTGGTTGCCGGGGTTTCCTGGCTCCGGATGATGGACACGATCACTGCATTACATGTTTGGGGGTCCAGCATGTTAATGTGGTGGCAGTTCATGTCGTCACTGCTATGCCATGACCGTTGCACAGCTAAGATCGCCTCCAGGCAGGTGAGCGCCGTCAAAATGGATCCTGAAGCGGACATGTTAGCCGTGCTTTCCCGGGCTGCTTCGGCCGTGGGGTTGGAGCTGGTTCATCCCCCATCTCCACGGCCGGACCGACTAGATGGGTGCTACGTGGAGGACCAGAAGGCGAAGCCTTCGAAGCCTCTGGTCCCCTTCTTCCCGGAAGTGCACAGTAGGCTCACGCAGTCTTGGAGGGCAACTTTCTCAGCCCATGCTGCGTGTCCCTCCGCCCTCACCGCCCTTGACGGCGGAGCTGCCAGGGGGTATGAGTTGATCCCGTCAGTGGAACGCGCTATCACGGTCAATCTTTGACCGCGTGGCGCCCCTACGTGGCGGGGTCCGCCCCGTCTCCTGTCCAAAGCCTGTAGGTTGTCTGCCTCCCTCGGAGCCAGAGCTTATAAGGCTGCGGGCCAGGCTGCTTCCGCCTTGCACGCGATGGCCACCTACCAGCGCTACCAAGCGCAGGCGCTGGCCGAGCTGCACGAGGGCGGGTCTAACCCAGGCTTACTACATGAGCTGCGCACCACAACCGACTATGCTCTTCGGACTACTAAGTCCGCCGCGTGTGCACTGGGGATGGACGATGTTTACACTTGTGGTTCAGGAACGCCACCTCTGGCTAGACCTGGCCGATATGCGCAATGTTGACAAAGTTCGCTTTCTTGACTCGCCCATATCCCAGGCTGGCCTGTTCGGCGACACCGTCGGTGAATTCACCCAGGAATTCAAGGCAGTGAAAGAGCAGTCGGATGCGATGGGTAATGTCATCTGTCGGCGCGGTCGTAAGCCCGCTCCGCCCGCCGAGCCATCCACCTCCGCTGTTCCTCGCCGAGGGCGCCCGCCAACGAGTGCTGCCCCGCCCCTGGGCGCGCCGTACACCTCGAAAGCAGGCAGCCGTTAGCCGACAGGGCACCATCTGGCACCCTCGCCCCGATCTTTGGAACCTCCACGTGTAGTCCCTAGACGTGAGGAAGACTTGGGTAACCTACCGAGTGCCGTGGTTAATACCATCACTCAGGCTAGTGCCCCCTCCACGAGGTGCCCCTACGCCCTGAATCGAAGTCTATTCACTACATGGTGTGTCTCTCGCAGAGAAAACCTCAGAAATTGCCAGATCAGTGTTGTGCTCTCTTTTCTCCAAGAGAAGCTGGACAGCAGGCTGTCGCCCTCCACTCTCAAGGTTTACGTGGCAGCCATCTCCGCTTATCATAACACGGTAGCTGGCGGCACCGTGGGAAAGCACAACCTCATCATCCGGTTCCTCAGAGGTGCTAGGCGAATTAATCCATCCCGCCCCCTCTCATGCCCTCTTGGGATCTCGCCCTCGTTCTCACAAGTTTACACGCAGATCCCTTTGAGCCACTCGATTCAATATCTCTAAGATTTCTGTCACTGAAGACAGCTCTGCTGGTCGCGTTGGCCTCCATCAAGAGGGTCGAGGACCTGGAGGCATTTTCGGTCAGTGACTCGTGCCTGGAATTCGGGCCGGATTACTCTCACGTTATCCTGAGACCCCGCCCGGGTTATGTGCCCAAGGTTCCTACCACCCCCTTTAGAGATCAGGTAGTGAACCTGCAAGCGCTGCCCCGGAGGAGGCAGACCCAGCCCTTTCCTTACTGTGTCCAGTTTACGCGCTGCACATTTATGTGGACCGTACTCAGCACTTTAGATCATCTGAGCAGCTCTTTGTCTGTTATGGCGGTCGGCAGCAGGGAAGTGCCGTATCGAAACAAAGATTATCCCACTGGATTTTGGATGCCATTTCACTCGCTTATTCGAGCAGAGGTGAGCCGTGTCCCCCGGGAGTGCGTGCACACTCCACTCGGCGCGTTGCATCCTCTTGGGCTTGTGCACGTGGCGCCTCTCTAACAGACATTTGTAGAGCTGCGGGCTGGGCGACACCCAACACATTTGCAAGGTTTTACAATCTGCGAGTGGAGCCGGTTTCCTCAAGGGTATTAGGCAACCCTTTGGTGATTGAGGAAACAACTCAGTAGGGTGTTGAAACACGCTTGCTGCGCCATTGTCCCTAACACGTAGATACGTGTGCCCTTTTATCTGTCAGTAAAGTTCCCCGTCAGGTGAGCCCTGCAGATTCCTCCGTGGACCCCAGCACTGACTCAGCAGAGGAGTCACTTGCTGGCCCACTAAGTTGTCGGTCTGCCCGCTGGTCAGCCCGCATCTTGGGTATAGGTGTCTGCTATGCGTGATCCCCACAAGGTGACTATGCTTATTCCGCCACGGTTAAGTCCCCCCTCTGGGTGGACCCGTGTCTTCCCTCTCCGCTAACCTCTTTGTCTATGCACACTCCCCCTTCTTAGGGCTAGTCCATATGTAATTCTGCCATTTTATCTCCCCCCTTGGGTAGTGGATGGCCTCCGCAGCATCCTCCCTGTCGGGATTGCACGCTTCCCAACGTACTGTCGTATTTTCCTAGAATCATCTAGACGCACACGACTTCCCAAAAAATATATCTAAATCCGTAAAACTTCTGTTGAAGGGAGATAAATTAGGGCCAGGGACACGTTGGAAGACCGCGCCTCCCATGATGTGGGTGCGTCACGCTTGCTTGACTATCCCCTCATCGGGGGCGTTGGTAAGGTGCAGTCATTATGGCGTTTTTCATAGTTCTCCCATACGTGGATTTTCCCAAAGATCAAATCCACTGTATAGCACTGAAGTTCCCCAACCGCAGGGGAACATTCGAGGTTACAGAAGTAAAACTTCGTTCCCCGAGGAGGGGAACGGAAGTGCTATACTCCGTCGCCATAATGACTGTCCCTTAGCTGTTAGAAAGTCTCTTCAGCTTAAAAGGTCGGCGTTTGCTCGCTCCAGGTGTGCTTATATGCTGGGATAATTGGCAATGAAGCACACCTGCGCAAGCTTACGCTGCCAATTCATTGCTTTCATTGGCCCGTTCAATACACTTTCAGAAAAGTGGCTTCTGAACCGAATCCTCCCATTTCGAGGATTTTCCCAAGATCAAATCCACTTATAGCACTTCCGTTCCCCTCCTTGGGGAACGAAGGGTAACTTCTGTCACCTTGAACGTTTCCAGTGTCTTTTCACTTTTCAGCTTTTGATGAGAGTTTTTAAGACTTAATGAAAACTAATGTTTTTTTATTTTTTATTTCAGACCTAATTGAAGAGAAGGAGAGGAGTAAAGAGGAGGAACATCATGTCAAAATTGAGGAAAAAACTCATTTACAGACTGATTTTAAAAGGAGAGACAATAATTGTTTCACCTGCACTCAGTGTGGAAAGAGTTTTGGAAGAAAATACATTCTTAAGATTCACATGAGGATCCACACTGGAGAGAAACCATTCACATGCACTCAGTGTGGGAAGAGTTTCAGCTGCTCATCACACCTTAATCAACACATAAGTATCCACACTGGAGAGAAACCATTTACTTGCACTCAGTGTGGGAATAGTTTCAGCCAATTAGCACACTTTAATCATCACATGAGGATCCACACTGGAGAGAAACCATTCACATGCACTTACTGTGGGAAGAGTTTCAGCCAATCATCAAACTTTAATAAACACATGAGGATCCACACTGGAGAGAAACCATTCACATGCACTCACTGTGGGAAGAGTTTCAGCCAATCATCAAACTTTAATAAACACATGAGGATCCACACTGGAGAGAAACCATTCACATGCCCTCAGTGTGGGAAGAGTTTCAGCCAATCATCAAATTTTAATCAACACATGAAGATCCACACTGGAGAGAAACCATTCACATGCACTCACTGTGGGAAGAGTTTCAGCCAATCATCAAACTTTAATAGACACATGAGTATCCACACTGGAGAGAAACCATTCACATGCCCTCAGTGTGGGAAGAGTTTCAGCCGATCATCGTCCTTTAATTTACACATGGTGAGCCACACTGGAGAGAAACTATTCACTTGCACTTAAGTTGCGGTCACACTGGACTTTTCTCCCCATAGACTTCCATTCATACGCACGTGAATGCGTCAGACCGGAAACCAAGTTTGTGCATCAAGTTTCGCAGTTCACTGCGTTGCAAAGTTCAAGCTTGGTGAACTCTGACCTGCAAAATCACATCACTTGACTAGGGCTGTGTATTGTTCTAAAGTGTTCGATACCGATACCCTGAATTCGATACCGGTTTCGAACGATACTTTTTTTCTATACTTTTATTTTAAGAAATAAATTTTAACAAGATTACATAACACATAATCTCAGAGAAACTATTTTTTCACAGCAGGCTTATCTTTAAGACCAATAAACAAAGGAACAAAAGCACAAAATGAACAAAGTGAACAAAGTGTAGTTTTAATAAAGTTTAAGCAGTTTAAGTCAATCAATTTTAAGTATTTGTGAGGCTTACTGCTGCCTAAAGGTTTTCCGGATATCAAAATGACTCCGGAACAGATACGCGCCGGAGGTATTACATGATCCGCAACAGAAACGGGTCCGCAAATGGGTCTGTACTGGAGTCTACTTGCACAGCGCAACGGATCCGGAACGGATAAGAATTCTGTATCCGTTCCGGACCCATTTCAGACGTTACCCGTATCCGCTAATAAAGCTCTTCATCCAGATCCGATCCGGACCCGTTAATAGAGTAGCTCATCCAGCTCGGATCCAATCCAGACCCGCTGATAGAGTAGCTCATCCGGCGCAGATCCGATCCAGACCCGCTGATAGACTAGCTCATCCGGCCCAGATCCAATCTAGACCCGAACCCATTGATGAAGTAGCTTATCTGGATCCAATCCAGACCCATTCATTAGTAGATAATTTGGTGCTGATACCTTGAGTTTCCTAATTCAAAACTAATCTGGGCAAAACTACCTAAAGAAATATCTAAAATCTATAGAACAACATTGCTCAATAAAAGCTTGCATATTTAAAATGTCTGCCTTAATCACTCAAAACTTCTAAATCTAAATGAATGTTTTAGCCAATCACAAGAAAACTATAAAAAGTTAATTAAATGGGTTAAATATAAATCAGTAATTACCTATTTTCAAAGTTGCATTATGTATACACTGACCAAAACAAATAAAACACAATGGAAAAATTGTACCGTTAACTTTTTTTTAAATTTTTTTTTTCATGTAGTAAAATGTTTTTATGAAGTAAGAGTAAAAGGAGAATCAAAACAGAATTCATTATAGACTCTTTGCTGAACAGAATGTTTTGAGTGTTGCTGTTGCAGGTGATAAACGCTGCTCAGGACAGTATGAAGATGTCATGAGTGTTGCAGTTGCACATGATGTAGGTTGCTCAGGACAGGATGGAGATGATGTGAGTGTTGCTGTTGCAGGTGATGAACGCTGTTCAGGAGAGTATGAAGATTAGAATGAATATATAAAATTCAAAAGAAAATGCACCATTAAACCTCCAAATGGCAGTTTGTGGTAGGTTTAAATAATGATATATTAATTAGGTTAAATACTCACAATGCTTTGATTTTTGTATGCAAGTCTTTTGTCTTAATTCACTTTCTGCTTCGTTAAAGCGGTTAAAGCAGTCTTGGTGATGTTGATGCAAATTTGCCAATCTTGATTTAAACCGCTCCTGTTGATTTAAAAATAACAAGATAACAGATTTTGTTTCAACCTTTCAAATAACTTTAAACCATTTAATTACTCTAATCAATAGGGCTGTAACGATACACCAAACCCACGATTCGGTTCGTATCACAATTTTTTTAGATTAAAAAGATTTTTAAAACTATTTTTTATTAAATAACATTTGAAAAATCTTTATAAACTGAACATCAAAAAACAATATTAACTATGCAAATTATTAACAATATAAATAGTAATATATAAAATAAAAAAATAGCCAAAGCTATATCACTTTTGTTTTCTTTGTAACAAAATACTGTTGAAAAACCAAACAGAACTAAACTCCATTGTGTAGATGGTTCAAGCATGTTGAAAATTCTTTTTCAATCAAGTTCTCTTACATAGAAAAACTAAATAAATGGCCACTAGGGATGCTCATTTAGTTAATTTTGCTAACTGACAACCGCCGCTCATTAATCGCTTATTAAGGGTTAACTGGTCAGATTACTATTAATTTTATATTAAACAAATTGACTTGTCTTTTTTGTGTCTGACACATTAAATATTGCATTTTAAAATACTGATTTATTTTTAAATGCTAGCATATTAATAACAGAACAGAACAACAGAGCATTTCCACGCATCTGCAGTGTTTAGCACAGAAGAGCAGAATAATCTAAATAAAATGAATAAAATAAATAGGACTGCCCTAAATTATTTTCAATTAAATAATTAATTTATATTACAAAACGAAAATACTGACTGATTCTTTTTAATAACCGGCATAGGCTTTTTTCCAATCATATGTTTTTTTCTTCCGTCAAATAAAAATAGCTGACTTCCTCAAATTGCCCGCTCCACGGAAAATATGCATTTATTTAATGCCCCGCTGTTATTATTGTAATCACAAAACCTTTTACATTTTTAATATAAATCATTATTTTAAAGAATATGTCTTGCTATATGGTTTCCTCTCTCTCCCTCGCGGTTCAAGTGTGCGCTGCGTGATGAAAAGACAACAACAACGCGCCCATATGTTGACTTTTTGTAAACAGTTTTGTTGTTTAAATATGATATTGCATTAATGTGCATACATGCTTTATAAGCTGTAAAATAAAAAGTAAAGCCTATTTGTTGCGTTTATTACACAGATCCAGGTCAACATCAGTGCTGGTTTAGCATCAACACGTCTGTATCAAACAGCAATATTCTACTTCTATTTTGCTTCTTTGGCAATGTGTCTATAGGCACGGGTTATATGTTATGGTCCCGCAAATTAAATATGCCTTGCAGTTGAACAAGGGGCCGAAAACAAGGCGCACCTCTCTGCCTTTATGTTGACAAGGAAAAAAGAAGTGCGGTCCTCTTATGAAACGACTGAATTAGCTGGTTATCGATTGTGCTAAGGTGTTGTTGTCTGTGTTATTACAATTGTAATATTTAATAATATCGTGATATTCAAGATTTGTACATTCATACAGCTCTGGATAACTTAAAACAGCGATTAGACCTTCAGAGCGGCATTAATGCGTCCTGAAGTAAAGCGAAACGGCTATAAACTCCAGCAAGATAGAGTGATTATATGCAGAGCCATATACCTTTATCTCTAAATAAAGTATAACTATAGAAACTGTGTTCATCTTAACTGAAAGCTTCATCGTGTTTCCTGACCTCACGCATCACTCACCTGTCAGTCAGCACTCCCAAAGGGTCAAACAGAAAGTGCACAGCACGGTTACAGAAAAGTTATAATTCACTTACCTTTAGGCTACTGTTTTACACTGAGGCTTAATGCCTGTGCTTCAAACCACAAGTCAAGTAAACATTAAACAAATAAACAACTTATTTCTCTCAAGAAAACCAAAAAGTTGAAAATTCTTCAGAAACACCATCATGTCAACATTGCAGTGAAAAACGTGACAACTTTCCTTACTCTGTGGAGTCGGGACATCTGGTGAACGCCCATCCCTCTCTGTGCAGCCACATTAACAGTGTAAGCAAAGCATCGTATATGCTGTGAAAATCCGGCCGCTTTGACAGCATTTGCAATGTTTCTGCCGTTGTCTATTGTCAAGCGGGGTTACGTTAATTTTGTTTTTGATATTCCTGACACATTCAGATGGTCCCTTACTAAGAGCTCCGTGCGAGCTCTCCCGGCTAAACGCATATTGCAAGGGCATAAATGGAGCAGTGCTCGTAATGTCGAGTGAAAAAAAATTGTTTCCTCACGTTCTTCTTCAACTAGCTCAACTTTTGCAGGCACGCGTGACGTTATTGGAAAGGTAGTCACGGGGTGTGTCGCGAATCTCCTTTATCACAACGCGACACAGGATCGTAGATTCGCGATTTCGATTTCATATCGTGTATTATTACAGCCCTAGGCGCCATGTCCGAATGATACAGTGACACTGACAAAGCGCTGCATCAGCCTCTTTGCGCCAAAGTTCATGCAGAGTAGCAGTGTCCCTGGCAACCCTAATGGGCACTTTAGACTTCGAGTTTTAAGGCATTTGCGATTAAGGCATTGTCCAAAGCAACTCGGAAAAGCATGTGACCTTCAGATTATAAGACTGACGTGCTGCCTACTGCGCCAACGAGGCAGATTGCAGGAGCTGGGCAGGCTGTGACACACCAGCTTCCATGTCACTGTGCTGCGATGTGGGTCCTAGGAGACAGCTCAGGCCATACAAGCATGTCAGTATGGCAGAGCGGTCTAAGGTGCTGTGTTCCGGTCGCAGTCTCCCTGGAGGCAAGGGTGTGAGTCCCACTTCTGACAAGCCCAACTTTTGGCTATGCGTTTAGGCACACGTCTTTAACTCTCTGGCACGACCTGGCATGTCCGAGTGATACAGTTACACTGACAAAGTGCTGCATCAATCTCTTTGCGCCAAAGTTCATGAAGCGTAGCAGTGTCCCTGGGCACTTTAGACTGCAAGTTTTAAGGTGTTTGCGATCAAAGCATTGTCCACAGCAACTCGTAAAAGCATGTGAACAAAACAATGGTCGAGGACTTTAATGCAAGTGCACTGAAAGGAGATCAAAAGAACTGTCTTAGAATGCCATGTAGTGGAATGTCCTTGGATGCCGTTGATTTTTAAGGCAAGAGGATTTGCAGGACTTTTCGTCAAATCCTTGTACAACGTCAAATAATGGCATTTGACAGATCCACACAGAACGTTAAGTGATTACGTGTCAGGAATGGGAGCATCTTGCCATCATTGCTTCAGATTCAGGAAATGTTCTTGGAACTTCACGCTGCCTGCCCTCCAGAGAAGCTGTAGCATCTTTTGCTCCCGGGTAGCATGAACCGTATTGAAGGGAATAATAAATGCTGCCCAGTCATCTAAGCGCTCCCATGTACCAAAAGTTACCACCCTGCCCTGTGTGAGGCTCGAACTCACGACCGTCAGATTATGAGACTGACGCGCTGCCTACTGCGCCAATGAGGCGGACTGCAGCAGTTTGGCAAGCTGTGACCCACCACCTTCCATTATGCTGTGCTGCGGTGGGGGTCCTAGGAGACAGCTCAGGCCATTCATGCATGTCAGGATGGTTGAGCTGTGTAAGTTGCTGTGTTCAAGTCGCAGTCTCCCCTGGAGGTGTGGTTTCAAATCCCACTTCTGACAAACAAAACCTTTGGCTAAACGTTCAGGCTCAAGTCTTTAAATCTCTGGCGCCATGTCCAAGTGATACAGTAACACTGACAAAGCGCCGGATCAACCTCTTTGCGCCAAAGTTCATGCAGCCTAGTAATGTCCCTGGCAACCCTAATAGGCACTTCAAACTGCAAGTTTTAAGGTGTTTGCGAGTAAGGCATTGTCCACAGAAACTCGGAAAAGCTTGTGAACAAAACAATGGACGAGGGCTTTAATGCAAGTGCACCGAAAGGTGATCAAAAGAACTGTCTTGGAATGCCATGTAGTGGAATGTCCTGGAATGCTTTTGATTTTAAGGCAATATGATTTGCAGGACTTTTCGTCAAATCCTTGTACAACGTCAAGTCATGACATTTGACAGATTCACGCTGACTGTCAAGCAATTACTTGACAGGAATGGGAGCATCTTGCCATCATTGCTTCAGAGTCAGGAAATGTTCTTGGAACTTCACGCTGCCTGCCCTCCAGAGAAGCTGTAGCAACTTTTGCTCCCGGGTAGCATAAACCGCATAGAAGGGAATAATAAACACTGCCCAGTCATCTAAGCGCTCCCATGTACCAAGTTACCACCCTGCCCTGTGTGAGGCTTGAACTCACAACCTTCAGATTATGAGACTGACGCGCTGCCTACTGCGCCAACGAGGCGGACTGCTGGAGTTGGGCAGGATGTGGAACAACAGCTTCCATGTCACGGTGCTGCGGTGTGCGTCCTGGGAGACAGCTCAGGCCAGGTAAGCATGTAAGGATGGCTGAGTGGTCTAAGGCGCTGCGTTCAGGTCGCAGTCTCCCCTGGAGGTGTGGTTTCAAATCCCACTTCTGACAAACCAATCCTTTGGCTAAACGTTCAGGCTCAAGTCTTTAAATCTCTGGCGCCATATCCAAGTAAGTGGTGCTCGCTGCTGAGCCATTTGGGCGAGCTGAGCTCCAGCGAGGGAGAGCTTGAGCTCCTCCTTTTTTGCACTTCTTCAACGAGTGATGTCACTGGGGGTAGGGTTAGGGGTGGGGTTGGTGTACGCATTAAAACAGCTTACAGGAGGAGGAGCGAGAGCTCATGCTCCCCTTTGCTGGAGCTCAATTCTGCTCAAATGGCTCTGCAGCGAGCACCCTCTCTATCCAAGTGACAAAGTGCCGCATCAACCTCTTTGCACCAAAGTTCATGTAGCGTAGTAATGTCCCTGGCAACCCTAATAGGCACTTTAAACTGCAAATTTTAAGTCGTTTGCTATTAAGGCATTGTCCACAGCAACTTGGAAAAGCATGTGAACTAAACAATGGACGAGGGCTGTAATGCAAGTGCACCGAAAGGGGATCGAAAGAACTGTCTAGGAATGCCATGTAGTGGAATGTCCTG